AACCAAATGCTGAGATATCGGCCTTCTGTGTATATTTTTAAAGTTTTCTAGCACACCTTAAAATCAAGAAGGCCTTGCGACCCCCCCATGAAGCTTTGGTGACCCTTGGTGAGTACCCCGATCCCCAGGTTGGAAACCACTGCCATGTAAAGTTATATAATACAACAATGGCTAAGCGTCAGGGACAAGAAAACTCCAAGTTTGTCAAAAAAAGAATGCAAGTAATTCTGTATGCTTGTTAAAAATGATTTAAAAAATACATAATACAGACAGAAAACTGTATAAACAGGAAACAACAACAACAACAACAACAGGAAATAATCCAAATCTCTCGTTTTACACAAACGTCTTATAGTTACTGAGTTTACTATTTGGGTTCATTGTACAGTTTTGAATATAATATGACATATCCATTAAATAAGCCACTCAGTCAGTTTACTAAATGATAGAAAAGGGGTCCCTTAAGGATAAAGGTTGGGAACCACTGCCATATGGGATGGGACAGGTGTCTGGCATGACACACAAAGATAAACTAATTATTCCCAACAGTGATTCATTAAGCTACCCTTTATATAATATACATTTAGCTAATTATTCATTTATGTCAGAATACAGGTTCCTGCAGGAGTCACTGAATGCCTTATTACATTTAAAGAAAACAATAACATGACTACGTAAAGGTGTTGAGACTGATTACTGAAGGTAACCAAGCCGAGGACACAGAACAAGCAGAAAGCAAATACCACCCAATAACAACTAAATAACACTGCTTAAAAGATTTCAGACTATGGGGTAAGTTATCATTTTGATTGAATCTAGCTTTCTGCCTTGGGGTCGCGTTAACTCGTCCATATTACAGACAAACACAAGTTAAAATCCAGAGTGAGGTGTTGGTGTAGTTAAAGCACTGTGGTAAAAACACTGTGACAAGAAAAACACCGATATTAAAACACATCTGATCCACATCCAAGAAAAATTACAAATTAACACCATCAGACAAGACAAATGCAGAAACTGGGACAATGTTTACGTCAACTGTGAGTCAGATTACAGCGCTTTCATCACATCTGAGGAAAAGCACAATAGCAGTGACTCCTATTTCAAGTATAACAAATGGAGAAGTGACTGTGGGCAATTAGTATTACTCGCACCGGTTGTGAAGGGTGGTGACAAATAGCCCGGGGTTGGAGAGCGATTAATCAATTGCTCCTCTCGGTACCCAACGGTGCTCTCTATGAGCAATAATGTACCTGTGATGGACATCATCTTGCAATGTCCAATTTAAAGTCCAGGCTGTTTGTGGAGAGTAACAGTGCATATTTACTGAGCTACTCAGATGGGAGTTTGGAGACTGCAGGCGAGACGGGAGAAGGTTGCATATGTGTAATTCTGCTACAGCATACAGCATATAGCATAAAGCACAGAGTAGATTTATGCTTTCTGATATGCCTGGTACTTTTCAGGTTGGTGTGGGTGTATGAATGTATTCCCTATCGTGCTCCCAGAGGTGGCTCCACTGCACTGCACTGCACTGCACAGTAGGTAGGGAGAGAAGGATGGAGTCTAGCATATGGCAAAAGGGCTTATATGTACCATATTGCAAACAGTTACAAATATGGGAGCTTCTTAAAACACATCAATAAAATCTATTTTACAAGGGAGCTTAAATTTGTGTGAAGTAACTCATTTTATTGCATCCAACGCTGTATCCAGCACCTGTCCGATTGAGGTTAAGTGGATGTGCACAAAGCTACCCCTCCTATAGTTTGAGACATAGCCTTACTAATTAGATGAGACACAACTGTCATCTATGTTTATGATGCTTAGACCAAACTGACTCGGTGCCTGAGCAAAAAGTTACTTGTCAATAACAAGCTGTTGTTAAAGAGCACAAAATATTCAGCTAAAATAAAAGTGTATGCACTTCTCAGAGTAATTGCAAATTTTATGATTCAGTCCTGCTATGAAAGGGACAATACACCAGCCAAAATAATAATTCAAAAAACTGTCTTATTTGTTTACTCTGGATGATCTGCAGACCTTCCCCAGAACAGCTTTCATTGGGAAATATTTTCTACTCAAGGCAAAAAAATAATAATAATAGCTGGAATTAAAACCAACTAAGGTACCTGAGCTCCTCAAGAATTCAGTCCAGCAGAATTTCTCTTTCACTTCCGTCTGGATTCCTTCAAAATGAACACAGGCAAATAAACACAGGCAAATAAACAAGCTTGTACTGTAGATTAATACTAATATCCATTAAGTAAATTTATTTGAGTTAAACAGATTAAATTAGATCTAGAACTAGGTTCAGAATTGTCCTTCTGATCTTGTGACATTCAAAATGAGAAACATTTATCACATCCTATATTCTTCATAACCTTTATTCATATTAGACACATATATTAGTATTTGTATAAAAAAATCAAGATCAATCCAACTTGTATGTAAAACAGATTTAATGCATCTTAAAAACATTATTTTGTGTGGTCCACGTTAACAGCACTTCAGTGTGATCACTATCTGCTGACAGGCATAAAATATAAGCTTCCAGTGGTCCAGGATCAGCCATGCAGCTGGCCAAAGGCTCTCTCCTCTAATCTATGAAGGGACACTATTTGCCAAACAAGGCTAGTGGTGGGAAACAACACGGAAGAGTGATTTGGGCTGTCCTACATGGCATGGTGGCCAATGGCAAGAACAAATACAACTCTGTACTGCAGACAGCATGATAATGGAGGAAAAAATGTCAACGCTGATTAATGCAACACTTCAATAGTGACTCAGGGATGCACAGCATTAGGAGAGGATATTCATCCTGCAGAGCTTACCTTGGGGCTGCACATAGATTTTACTGCTCTGGGACAGCTTTAGAGAAAGAAAACACAGGATTCTGGTTAAAACAAGTACCAAAACATAAATGCATGTCATTTAAACCAATCAGTAACTACTCGTAGTGTTTGTTTATAGAAATTACATTTGATTATTACTGCTTCCTTCTCTTTATGTCAGACAATAGAAAAGGACAGTTAATGCTCTTCACGCTCCAAACATATTTAATCAGAATCCAAACTTTTAAAAAAAGAGTCAGTAAAACAGTTGCTAAGATAATGGGGGTGCTACAAAATAAATCAGAGGGGATGGAAAGGAAATTGACTGGATGTTATCACACTAGATCCATCCCCTATGTGTGTTTTCTGTCACAATAAAAAGCGTGCCGATGCCTCTCAGTGCCTGTCCTGTCTGCCTGCTGTCAGCACTAAATGGCAGAGATAAAGCACGCCACTCGCCTCAATCTGCAGCCTACGGAGGCAATCTAATCTGAAAATAAAACACAGTAATATTGTTTTAATGCCAAACTATTAAGGGACAGGGCAGGATATTGTGTTTGTATAGTAAAAGCCCTCCTGTTGTATTTATTGAAGCTGTCAGGCTCCTTCTGTCTGCTGAAGTGCTGTAAAATGCAGACAACAAACTTTTGCTCTCACTACTTGATTTTTCATAGTAGCTTGGTACAAGGGTCAATATCTTATTTTATCACTTATGATTTGTTAGTTGCTAACTTTATATGGGGGTGGGGGATGCAGCATAGAAGGTTGTCATAAACATACAAATGAACTAGTAATTAGACACACACAGACAGTTTCTAGTAAAACTTAAAGGTTCTATATGTCATTTTCAGAAATGTTTTGTTAATAGTGACACCAGTGGCCGTTAAGTGAACTGCATTAACCACGCAGCCAAGACACATCCATCCCCAGCTTAGCTTAGGCTACAGTTAGCTAAGTAATCGCAAGTAACCTGCAAACAGCATGCCATCCAGACCGGCCCTGGAAGTCTAAAACTAGCTCAGAGTATTTTGTACGTCAGCTAGAAATGTGTTTGTGTTAGTAAACAAGATAGCGATAGCCAGATAAAACCAGAAAATATCAATATATGTCACAAGCTTTGCAGTAATGTTAGCTTTGACTTTGGACTTTGTGTTGTGGTGGGTGCTAGCAGATGTCAGCGGACTCCATTTATCAGTTGACGTTAGCTAGTGTTGCACACTGATGACAGAGGAGGCACTCGGGGGCATAAACACTTCTTTTTGTTTTTCCCAGAGTCCGACCCACATCCCTACGTAGAAACACATAGAAATCAGTCCACAGGCAACTGAGAAAGTTGGGGATGGTGTCATTTTCTTAGTTACGTTACAACCTGTTCAACATATCGGCAATACAAAGTGATTAATACATAAAAATAATATGTATAATGCTTTAAATGAGGAAAACTGGTATGGAATATGCCACATTAGACACAGATTGTAAGCACCAAATCATCATCGGTTCTTTTTAGATAAAAACAGTTGGCCTATTAAAATACAAAAGAATATAATCATACCAAAAAGAACTCAGCCTCTTCTTTCATTTTGCTTGTAAATGCAACTGCAAATCTGATAAAAAAAGAAAACACTTCATTATCACCCCTGTGAAAGCCATTTGAGTAAGAAAGATTTTCATTGCTGACAGCAAGTTTTAGCTTTCTTACAAGCAATGACAATTATGACAACAATAGAGGAAAAAGCAGTGGTAGCAACCGTAAAACTCTAAAGTCTCCAGGCTGAGTATGTGAGAGCACAAAAACCGCCTGTGGTTTGAAGGCAAAGGATTTAGGGATGAATACACCAAGAATACAAAGAGGAAAACAAAGGGAATGTAGAGCAAAAAACAGTGGGGAGATATTAATTTGCGTGCGTGTGAGTGTGCAATACTAAATGGGCCAACGGGCTGTGAGTGGTGACTGAATTTCATGATCAAGGTTTGTGTGTGAAGGCAGTAACAGCAGGAGGTGCGTGGATTCAGATGTTTGAAGTCGTGAGACCTGGATCTCCCTAGTTCTCCCAGAAGGCAACTATCCCCTTAGATTTACTAGATGAATGCCCTACAATCTGTTTTTATCATAATGATAACAGGGACACCAGGGTCTGGCGCCAGGGCATAGCACATCATAAGATATTGATAGGCTTATGTGCACCTTGCGTGTGCTCAGCCTCATTCTTCCATGCCAGTACTCCAGGAACTGGAAGATCTTGCAGGGATCTAGTCCTTTCTCCCCACTGATACTTGATAGCCTAGTCAATACGATCCAAATGCTTTGTACCCGTTTAATATATTGAATAGTCATGGAATTCTTATAACTTATCTAAAACAATACTTAAAGGACTAATGTTATACCTACATTTTAACAGGTCACATATTGCCTGAAAGGAATGACTTTTGGAAAGATGATGGATTTGATCACAAACTGATCAGAAGCTAATAGGGTGGTTTCTTTTGTTTTGTTGTTGTTGTATTTTATACATTCATATATGTATATATTTTTATATATGTATATGTATTGGCAAAAACAGCTTAATGCACAACCGGCTGATCATATTTTATCACAGTGGATTCAAGCAGATCTATTTACTGGCACAGTAAACGGTATCCAAACAGTAAGAAAGTGGTAAAGTAAATTGTGACATTGATGAGTGGGTTTGACTTTTATGGGTGTCTAAAAACTGAAAACTGCAACGAGCGGCGCAAGAGAGGATCGCACGTCTGGGGCGCCGTACCAAAGGACAACAATGGCTTTGCAGGTGACCCGTTTCTAAGGGCGTGTCTCTGTGTTTGTAATTGATCAGATTATGTTTGTTTGTCAGTGTTATTCATCTTATTGCCTATTTTTTTGTAAAAGACAATAAATAGATGTTTAAAACAAATTATAAAAAGAGGCCATATATGCAGTGAATTATGGAAATTAATTACATTAGAGGCTGTCTTTATTTAATTTAAACCATTTAGATTAAAAGGTGTAAATGGACACATTTACTTCCTACTTGCACCTAAGTCTACATCAAACTTCTATAAAAGGAAGTCAAACTTGTTGTGATACATTACTAGCATATTTGGTAGCAATAATCAATAAAGTGTCTATTATTGATATATATGTATATTTTCTAAGATTCCTATTTATTGTGGGATTGTTTGCCGTTTATTGGAGAGGGCTGAAGGCAGACAGGAAGCAGGGGAGAGAGAGGTCTGACATGCAACAAAGCTTGTATATTAAGACGACTGTATATCACACTCACAAACATTCACTTGTTCAAACAGACCTTTCTCATGGCAGACATGTTGCCCTGTTACAGTAAGACAAGCACAGGTGGAACTAATAACACTAATGATGCCACATGAAAGCCGTGTAAATGAATGAGCATGCACAATAACAGCACCCTTGAACTGGCACACCTAAATGAAACGCATCCATAATTAATGTTATTAGTTGCACCTGTGCTCTTCCTGCTGAGAGGCTAAACAGTCTGGCACGAAAAAAACGGCCTTTTACACATTATAGATTCATAAGGTAAGTCTAATTATTAGTGGTTAGTAACGTTATATTAGTTAAATATATTACTAAACGTAACATATTTATCATGTACATTGTTATTATGCAATTTGTGACTGCAGTTCTCCACAGATAACAACAGCAGTGAAGAAAACAACACATTTAATTTTCACAAACTTTTCCAAGAGCATTTTAGAAAAGTGGGTGTGATGTGTTGAATCAAGGAGAAAAAAAACTCAATTTGGAGCTAAATGGGTTAAAATAGCGGTTTGCAGCAACATCACCTGGCTTTCAGTAGCACCTGCTCCATAACCACACGCTTCTGCTCAACTTTCACATCTTCATTTATGTCTGTTCCGCCAAAGATAACGCCAAAGGGTACTTGGATGTCTGGTGTAAAGGTTAGGCATAAAACAGAAAGGTCCTGACATTTGTGGGACAGGTAGCAGCAGTATACTTGTAGCTCTACTATTATGTTGACAAACACAAATGACTGGAGGTATGAGATAAGTAAATGGTTCATAGAACAGCGAGGATGTTTACCTAAGAGAAGTCTGCCTGCTCTGTACAGATGAATGGCCAGCGCACCCTCAAAGGGAGGATTTTGAGAGACTAGGTTTGCCACCTCAGCGGGAGACTGAAATTCTGCTGCATCTCTGAGCTCACAAGTGTGCCCCGCTGACTCAATGTGGGACCTAAAATAAAAGAAAGATGTGACTGCGGAGGGCTGGTAGGAGGACAGGATGGTTAAGCAAACACTGAGGTTTTTAGGGCTTTAGTAGAGCTGCAAATAATGATCATCTTCATTATGGATTAGTTGTTTGGTCCATAAAGTGTCAGAAAAAGGTGAAAAATGTTGATCACTTCTCCCCCTAAGTCTACACTGTTTAAAAAAATAAAGAAAAAGAAACTGTCTTCACTAAAGTTTTGAAATAAACTAAAAGTTTTGCCAACCTATAATGTCTTGTTGGGGTAATTTGTTTTCTTCTAAAAATCTGTTTAGTGAAATTACAGTTAAAATTAATGTTTAAATTATAATGCGTATGTTTTTCACTTTAATATGTTTGCATAACAACTTTTGAAATAGATTTTTGTGTTTCTAAGACTTAAAGATTCATGTTTTTTTACAGAAGAAAAGTAACGTATCATTATGATTTAGTTTATTTCAAAACTTGGGAGTTTGACTTCAAACTAAAGAAAGATAATGAAGACAGTTGCCTTGAAAGTTTTCTTTTCTTTTGTCCACAACCTAAAGAGATTCAGTTATAGACTGTCTGCTGCCATAGAGGATTAAAGAAAGCAGAAAATATTCACATTTAAAAAAGCTGAAAGCAAAGAATTTGGACATTTTCTTCTTTAAAAAAAACTCTAAATGATTGACAACCAAAATAATTGGCAGTTAATGTAATAGCTCACAACTAATCAAGTAAGTGCTGCAGCCCTAAACTTTATCTCAAAGGCCCTTTTGTTTTACTCATCGAGCCTTTAAATGTTCTGCTGGTTTCCTGTAGTTACACTTCCTCCTTCCTGAATCATGTTATAGTTAAAGTTGTTGTGCACAAAGACAGCAGCTTTATATATTATATATTATAAGATAACCTAGTTAACAGT